TTCTCAAAGCAACTCGGAGCCCAGCTATTAAAGGATAGCTAACTAAGTGGAGATCAGCACGTTTCTTGCTGTTCTCTAGGAATGTGAATAGCAAAAATATCTGTACTTATTTTCGTTATTTTCCCTGTGGGTGCCTCTTTCATTTTCATGTTTTTCACATGCCATTCCTTTCATTCCACATGAAAGGGAAAGCCTTTTTTGAGTTTCATATCAGGTTTCCCCATACATATTTCCTCGTGCTAATCTGAATTTAGCCCTACAGAGCCCTTCAAATTATTCCAAAACATCAGAAACAGAGAAGTAAGGCAACAGAGAATCAATCTATTCCAACAGTTGGCAACAGTATACAAGAAATAAAAACCACCATCAGGTCTATGCAAAAATACTTAACACACCAACCAACCAAGAAAAACAAGCAAAGAGAGGGGGGGAAATTCAAAGCCCACCTCCACAAACAAAATTGACTACAACATAGATAGATTTCCTCCCCTCCCAATAGTTGATTCCTTCTCGTCTCTTTTCTTCTCTAAGTCCAGCTGACAGCAGGAGATAAACAACACAATTCAAAATGGAAGGCACCAGGGTAGAGCTCAGCAGCAGAAGTAACAACACATCTCCCCATAAGGATGAACTATAAAGCAAAAAAAGGATTCCCCTCACTCTGTTTCAAATAATCCAGACCCTTTTACAGATTGAAAAATTCTGCTCCCCTCCTGGACATTCTGACTGGCTGTTGATGGCAGACCTGTCATCCCATTGGATGAAAAATATCCTGGGTGATTTGATAAAGTTTGGTTAAACGAAAAAGTGAAAGAAAATAGCAAAAAATTGTTCATGATCCCTCTTTCATTAATTCAAAGATTTTGTGTTTTAGAGGCACCATTTTGGACATCTGGAAATGAAAGAAAAAGACTTTTCCGTGTATATATATGTGTGTGTTTGTGTGTGTAATTACAAAAATCCCATCTCTACTGTTCTCCATAGAATCCTACCACTTCTATCTGTTGGGTGAGAAAGAAAAAGCAGCAAGTGTCCAAACAACGGAAGGTGGGGTGGGGGAAGAGATGGGATAGCAGTAAGGAAGTGACAGAGGGGAGGAAGGGGAAGCGGAGAGGGACCAGTGGAAGCAAATGTGAGGAAGAGGTGATGGGCCAGAGGGAAGCAGACTGGAGGCAGTAGTCCCAAGAGATGGAGCAGTGTTTAATTTCCTAATTCAGGGAAAGAAGAGATAGGGGACCACTCCTTTCATCATTCTTTTCCTACACATTTTTTAGTTGCTATCAACAATTCCGTCTTGTTCTACAGCACCTCTGCTCTCCACCAATTTAGGTCTATGGCCTAAATCCAATAGCTAATTGCAATTAGAGAGTAAGATTATTGGATCAATGAGATTTACAGACATGCTGATTTACCATTCAGGAAATGATTCAGTAGTTTGCCATGGTTAGGACTAGCAATTTAGGCTTATATACGTATATTTATTATGGTATTCCTGTGCTGAGAATCTCTCATGTCATGCGTCCTCAATTCCAGAGGAAAAAAAATACCAAAAATACCTTAAGCATTGTATTTATTATATAAATCAGATATGAATGGGTTCCATTGTACCTTTCTCAGTTCAGAATTCTGTTGCCACAGCAATACCTGCTCATTTAAACTCCAGGAGCCAAGCTAATAATTACCTTGCTAGAAAAACACACCCACATTTCCTGCTAGTATCTTGAAAGTGTTCATGTGACCCTGATAGCTTGCTGGGGGAAAGAGTGTCATCAGCATAATTCATACCAGAGCCAAGTAATCATCTGATCATAAGCACTGTGAATACAGAGAGCGCTTAGTCAGACAAGACTATTGCAGAAAGTACATATAAAATGCACACCTTGAACGGTCCTTCCTAACTCTTGGTTGCTTCGCTTTTTACAATATACAATTCCAGGTTTGCCAGAGAACAAACTTTTGGCAAGTAGAAAATGCCAATTATCGCTTCATGAGGCCTGACAGAAGTGCCTGGAACCACACGTTTGTTGCACTCACACTGTCTATTTTATGTGGCAAACCAAAAATACACAGTACGTACATCTGAAAATGTAGTGCCTGAGGTGGCTTCACTTCCCATGCAAATGATTTTTGCAGTAATTTGGGCTCAGCATGCAATGCAATCACCTGCCACATTCCTCCCCCAAGCCTAATGTACATTATCAGGTTCTCATATGTCTTTACTAATTGCACTTAAATGGTGCCTTTAACCTTGGAGCAGGGAGGGGGGGCAGTGGTTTTAGACGGAAAAGGCAGCCAAGTAGAAACAAGCTGATTTTGGTCCTGATCCAAGGTTTCAACTCAAAAACCAGGTTGTCACCCACTGTATTGAGCCTCATCTGTATTTTTATTTATTTATGTACTTATTTAAAATATCTTTACCCTACCTTTTTCCTTTACAAGGACATGATTAAAATACAATATTTAAAGCTAAAAATAGTAAGTATACAAATACTAAAAACAATCAAACGAATACCACACTAAAAATGGTAAACAAAAGCAACACCAAAAACATATTCAAAGCAGTAAGGCACAACAGGCCATTTAAAAAAACCCACTAAGGCAGGCAGTCATTGAGGGAAAGCCTGCCTGAAGAGGAAAATCTTTGCCTGCTTGCGGAAGGATAACAAAGACGGGGGCAGCCTGGCCTCCTGCGGGAGTAGCGATAGAGAAGGCCCTCTCCTGTAGCCCCACCAAACACAAATGTGAAGGCTGTGGGACTGAAAGAAAGGCCTTTCCTAATATTAACACAGAGCAGGCTCATCATGTGAGATGTGGCCCTTGAGATAGCTTGGACCTAAGCCATTTAGGGTTTTATAGGTCAGAACCAGCACTTTGAAATGTGCCCCAAAATATACATAGGTAAAGGTAAAGGTAAAGGTTCCCCTTGACAATTTGTCCAGTCGTGTTCGACTCTAGGGGACGGTGCTCATTCCCGTTTCCAAGCCATAGAGCCAGCGTTTTGTCCGAAGACAATCTTCCGTGGTCACATGGCCAGTGCGACTTAGACACGGAACGCTGTTACCT